GTGGCTCTCAGTGCTTTTCTACCGACTTTAAAAAGGATCAGGTACTCAATTCGACTGTATGTTTTTTTTAATGTGTTACCTCATAACTTTTTACTGGGTGGACCGATTTCGATGATTCTTTTTTCATTTGAAAGCTGATGCTTCACACGTGGTCCCATATAAATTTGATCAAGGTCTGACTAATAGTTTTGAGTTATTCTTAATAATTTATATTGAAGTCGGTTGTACAAAATTTTTTATTTTTAATTATTAGGGTGACGTAGACACGTTGAAAAACTAATAATCAACCACCATAAACTGTCTTCGATTGCTGACTTTCGATTTGTTACTAATCAATAACGTGTTTTCTTACACCTAACAATGTTCTTCGTCACTCGTCTGAATATTTACTATACATATTGCTAGCACGGGGTCAAGAAAGACACGCAAGCAAAAAGGCTAAATAAGACGAATTTGTTTTCGTTGTTATAACATAGCATTGTAGTGCGTATAATTATTGACGTAGAAATTTGTTGGTAATGATATGAAGTTTTTCAAACATTTTGCTGTTTGTCAGCTTTGGAAACCTCCTCTTATATCTACCGCTAAGCTACAGTGCACGCACCACTGTTCCGGTTTGAACGGTAAGAGTACCACTACTTTAATTATTCATCTTAGTACTCCGCTATATAATGGTGTTGTGTTGACGCGTCCACAGAATAAATAATAGACGCTCTACTCTATATCTAATCTATGACCTACGTGTTAAGATTGTTGTAAAGTAACTTTGTCACTGCGTCTCAATGGATCGAACAACGACTACTTCTTGACACGAACTCACATCTTTATTTTTTATTTTTTATCATCTCGTAGAAGTCCACAGCTGGTCGCACACAACATAAACCTAAAACCGCGTGGTTGATTGCCAAAGGTTTTAGATGCATGTGTACGTGAATGCATATTCTTACAGTAAGTTTAGCATGGTTTCGACTTGATTACGACATTATTGTCGCCTTTACATGACACGTGTGTTCACTAGCGATCGGAGTGTGCGCGATTGCTCGCAGGAAAGCTTGCACGCGCAATCGTGAGTGATTGTTTTTACCCATTTTTATGTGCACTGACTCTTTCGCGCGTTATTACTTCTGTATTTTTATTCAGAGAAGAAAGAGTATCGTGTAAAGGCTAATCGCGCGTGATTGAGTACGGGCAACTTCCGTTCCGCGACCTGGAATGTAAGTACCTATCAACCTCACGCAGTTTTGTTGAACGCGCGTTCTGAAGACCAGGGTTCTAAAAAAATAAAATAAAAAAGGGTTAGAAGGGATATTATACAAGCAGTTATGTTTGCTGCTCTAAGCGTATAATATATTATATATTTATATATAATTTTTTTTTATCTTATTAAATAAAATGAAACATAAAATGGCATGTATGAGACTTGTAAATTGCCAAGAATTATGTAATAAGGCCCTTGCTCCATAATCTAATGACCGTCATTTTACGACGACGATCGTTTCCTTAAAACCGCGCACAGACTTGAACGCATGACTGAGGTATGAGGGGATGCGCGAGCGGGCGGCGCGCGCTACATTCTCGTTCTTTTTTATCTATGTATACAGCATGCGCGTTCTTTCCCGCGCGAAAGCAGATTCACGCGTTAAAGAACATAATATGTGTCAAGGCGGCTATTTATTGAAATATACGTAGCGTTCTATCTTTTTTGACGGTCTGAGCATGTTTAAAAGAAAGTTTGTTAACTATACTTGAGAGAATTCGGGGTAACAAATAGTTCATAAAGTGTAACACATTATAATTGCGTAGACGCTGTAGCAATCTTTCATCTTACGGGTCCGTAGAGCCATTGCGGCATCAGAGGCGATATAACTGAGTAAGTGGCGCAAGTATGAGTCTCTGAGGGTTGACAACATATTTGTGTCCGTGGGGTCGACATGCGTGGAAGTTTCCAAAGTAACTCTATCGGCGACTTGTCGTTGCTGATGGCGATAAGAGGTCTAGTTTTTTTTTCCGCTCAAAGGCTAAGTATAGTTATTCAGCAAAAAAACGCAGCCAGCGTTTCTAGCACTGCATTGCGGGGAGTATATTATGATAATTTGTTTTGGGGACTGTATGATAATTTATGTTTTTAGTTTTGGGTTTTATTTTAGTGGTAATAAATATTGTACGTTTTAATGTTATTGCTATCTAATGTCAAATTCATTGCAACATAGTTAATTAATAAAACAACAAATACCAGTTGTTCAGTTTATTCTTAACGTTAATGCAGACTAGAATAATACTCTTAGAAATGAGAACAACAATAGTTATTTCACATATTACAGTGTACCTACCATATATATCAGCTTTCGCGATAAAAGGCTATTTATTATCTGTGGTTTCTCAATGTAAATAAATCTTATTCACAACAGCTAGCAATATAAAATTACATATCAGATTTTATATTATCTATATAATATACTTGAACATATAGCTCACGAAAATATTATAGTTTCGGCCAGTGTCCTAAAACATACTATTTTTTTAAAAAATAAATTATAACCTCCTTTCTTATTTTATATAACAACAGGATAACAGTCGGATTGAGTAGATTCTTAAAATGTTGTGTACCTTTTGTATAATCAATCAGATTATTGGAATTATTATTAAATTTTATTTTGTTTATAGTTGCCAGGTACTAGAAAGGGGGAAGAATATTACACTTTGTAATAATATTACATTTAATTTCAAAATTTTATATTTTAATATGATATTATCACAAAGTGTAAAATTGTTATTATTATTTTACTTCACTTTGACAAATAGTTTAAGAATAAAAACGATGATAATTTTATCATTAAATCAAAATTTTCTATGGTGAAATATATACATATAGTTTGAATATTGCGTAACACTGGCCTTTAGAGTTAAAGAATACAGATTAAAAATAGTAAGAGGAAATAAATAAGAGTACTAACATATTTGGAAAGCATTAAAACTCGAAAGGGTAAATAGACAGAAGCAGGTTTTCGTAGGGAGATATTACAATTACACGATTTCTTTTAATAATAGTTTTTTTTTTTATACATAAATAACGTAAAAACTCGTCTTCAGAGCGCTAAGCTTAGCTAAAATCGGAACATACATATTGATATAGATTATATAGTAATGCTATAGCCACACTATAAAATTTACAAAATATGACATATCTTTTGAAACGCTACAAGAAATAATGTTTTATTTATCTTTTAATATCTACTAATCAATTCATTTTATTCAAATACGATCACTTTCTACCGCGGTCCAAATAACGAGGTGCTTCGCGGTGTTTTTTTTTTAATTTAACACTTTGATATACTGACAGATACGCGTTAATGTTACCAGTTTGAATTGCTACAATGTCGACAACTTGATGCAGAGTAATATAAATGAGTAGCCAAGGCTAACTTTATATTGCATTATTGATGTAGTCGACATTGTAGAAATTACAATCAATCGAATTTTCTATATTCAGCTATACATCTTAGAATTATGTTTCTGATGAAATGATTTTGAACTATGGTGCTGTCAATGTATTTCATCGATATTAAAAGTAAAAACAATATAAAATTTATAATTATCAATTTAAAAGCTTTAACAAAAACCAAAAAGAAATATATAACATATCATAAAGCAATAAATGACTAAAAATGGAATGGATTGTAAGAATGTATAAACGACGAAATTAAAACTTAAAATGAGTAAAATTATCAAGAAATATGGCAACAGTTTATAAAAAAATACTTAAAGCTACTTACAGATAAAACAGAAAATCGAGATTGTCTATGGCAAAGATGGCGCATTAATGTTAAACTTATTTCAAACGATTTAGACTGTTAATACTTAAAAACTAAAATTTGATGGCAGGTAATTAACTGCATCATAAAATATGTAAGCAGATATGAGTAGGTTTACGTTAAATTTACAAATACAATTAATTATTTAATGGAATATGTGTCAATGTCATGAATAGCAACATTTTTATTTCAACCTATTTTCACTTGTTATTGCAAATTACTCTAATTAAAGATACAAAAAATTGTAAAGCCGACACTAAATATTGAAATTATATTTTTTTTAGAATGGTAAATAATATATAATAAAATCGTCACTGAATTTTAGAAGTAATAGGTAATCTATTTTATTATTTTTTAATATCAATTAATGTTTGACATAAATATGTACGTAATAGGCAATAACAAGTAAAACAATTGAATTAAAGAGATATACAACTTACGAGCTAACTTATTTTAGCCACAAAAGCATTGTAAGCAATCTGAGTTGGACATCACATTTCATTTCTTCGAGGGAAAGTATTTGAGTATTTATTACGACAGCTGAGCCAATTACAATAATTAGTGTTTTGTAAAGACATTATAAATGTTATTGGAATATCAAATACAAAAATAAACATTGTTTTTTTTCCACATACTAACCTTCGTTCTAAGTGAAATAAACCTCAGATGTGAGATTTTTATTTATATAAAATCGTATTTATACTTAATATCCAAAGCAGGAAGATAAACAAAATAGCAGTGGAGTATGGAAAACAGTTTATGCCTTATACTTTTTTCAAATTATATAACGCGGTTACGCCCGCGTGGTTATTTTCAAAATATGCAGTCAATGTGTTATTCCAAGATCGAAAAAAGATGCATTCGTTCAAAAATCATTTCTATCCGTTGCCCCATTGCTCCGGTTTTTGATGATGTTAATGCTGTTAGCCTTTTTGGCTTTTACAGCTTCATCGCAGGCCGCGAGCTTGTGTAAGGGCAAATCAACAAACACACTTTTAACACGCGTTTATAATATAAGTAGGATTAGAAATGGCAGTACAACAATAATAGTAGATTCTTTTGAACAAAATCCCGCACTGAAAGGTTATATTGTCACATTATTTTATCGTTATAAAATGGCTCAACTGTCGTGTGCAACGGAGCGCGTGTATGTAAGCAGGCACTTTGAATTCGCGGCGCGACGCGCACTTAAATGAACACAGGGTTCTCCTGCCCTGTCAGCAGCCGGAACATCGACGTAGGCATCGTTTTCATTAGTATCTGGAAAGAGAATAGTGCTAAATAATATTAAGAGGGTGGCGTTTCCATTTTTCGTTGGTGATATCTAAAATTCCCTCTGTCAACTTCCGTAGTAAAGAGGATATTCGCTATATATATATATATATATATATATATATATGTTTAACATCATATGATATTATGAACATATTTTTTAAATCACTATAGCACTGATATTTTCCACAGTCGCCTCCTACGACACCCATGGGATGAAATGCATAACCATTTCGTCCCATGTGAAGTCACAGTATCTATACTAACACAGTGCACTGTTACATTTACAAGCACAGTGTAGTCTATGCAGTCACAGTGTAGTTCATAGTATGTTGTTACAGTAAACGTAAACGACAAGGTCGAATACCGGGTCCGGCCTAAAATAATTTAGTCATTAAGTTTTTCTTCCAAGAAATTCTCAGCAGCAGCCTGAAGTTTGAAAAGTGGCGAGTTTTATTTACCTCCGTGTCTCGGAAAGCACGTAAAATCGATGGTCCTGTGCCTGATCTCGCTCCGGTCGTGTTAGATTACCGTGCCATCGGACTTTGAGAGCGAGGGAATAGAGGGTGCACCAAAGCTTGCGCATACACTGGTGTACTGTAATCCTGTCCTGCGAAGATGGCTAGTCTAGATTGGTCGCCGTGACCGAAATTCGGTCTTTAGGACATTATCTCAATAAAGTAAGCGCTGTTAAAGCCTCCTAGCTAACTGCACTCCCAAAAAGACCACATATTTACCACAACACTGCTTTTAGTTGCAGTGTACAGTCACAATGCATAGTCACAGTGCCAGTACACAGTGTATAGTTACAGTGCACAGTCGCACAGTGTATGTACAATTGCAGTATAGTTACAGTTCACAGTCACAGTGCAGTCACAGTGTAGTCACAGTGTACAGTCACAGTGCACAGTCGCAGTGTACAGATGCAGTGTAGTCACAGTTCATAATCACAATGCACAGTCGCAGTGTACAGTTGCACTGTAACTATGAACGACTATGGCTACATGGCAACTGCCATGTAGTCACAGTTCACGGTTCACAGTGCTCACCTCGCCTACGGATGTGGCGAGCAGGTTCACGATGCGTTCGTGCGGCACGGCCACGACGCTCTGCGAGTTGATCTCGATGATACGATGTCCCACGCGGACGCCGCCACGCTCCGCGATACCGCCACGAAGCAAACTGCAAATCTGGTGGACAAAATACAGATTGCGATACGGTGATGTGTACACTGAATGATGTGCTGCAAAAATATTCTCATCTGCTACGATTTTGCTGCTGAATGAATTATTAGTCTTCTTTCTAATGCTTTTCCATACTCATTGAATGTGTCCATGGAAAATTGGATAATTTTTTTTTATAGGATAGGGTGACAAACGAGCACACAGTCCAACTGATGGTAAGTGGTTGCTGTGGCCCATATACATCTACATTTATCCTCGTTTGCGAATTAAAATGCAGATGCGTTGTCAGCCGTGAGGACTAAGATAGAATGCCTCTTTTCCAGTACAAAGGATCTCCGGTTCTCTACACTCACCATACGAAACACAGCAGCATTAAGCTGCAATTTTACACAGGTATTCTGTGAGGGCGTGGTCCTTCCCCGGTTGAGCCGACCCATTCGTGTTACAACTATACCAGAAATATAGCTGCAGCATGGCTCTACCACGTATAACATTTTTATGTGTGTTACTTCATAACTTTTTACTGGGTGAACCGAATTCGATGATTCTTTTTTTATTTGAAAGCTGGTGCTTCACATGTAGTTCCATATAAATTTGATCAAGGTCTGACCAATAGTTTTTGAATTATTTTTAATAATTTGTATTGAAGTCAGTTGTACAAAGTTTTTAATTTTAAGTTATTGTATTTGCACTATCCTTTAATTTTATATTTGCCGTGTAATGACGGCGTAAGAGAGTCCACTATTCCATATACTACCGTGAGTGTCGCAAGAAGCAACATAACGAATAACGATACTGAAATAAGAGATGGACAGCAGTATCTTCCTAACAAAAACCGTTGAGTTTTACAATTTAATTTTTTCCATTGGGGTAATCTGTGCGGGAGGTCTATGTTAAGCTGTAAACTTCCGACTTCTGAGCTTCTGACGGGTTCTAATATACTTATAAATGATGATGATATTGGTATATAATATATTTATAAGATAGGGTGACAAACAAGCGTATACAGTCCACCTGATGGTAAGTGGTTGCTGTGGTCCATAGACATCTACATTTATCGTCGATTACGAATCAAAATGCAGATGCGTTGTCACCCGTGAGGACTAAGATGGAATGCCTCTTTTCCAGTAAAAAGGGTCTTCGGTTCTCTACACTCACCATACGAAACACAACAGTGTTAAGCTGCTATTTTACGCTGGTATTCTGTGGGAGCGTTGTCCTTCCCCGGTCGAGCCGACCCATTCGTGCTACAACTATACTACTAATATAGCTGCAGCATGGCTCTATCACGTACAAGCATGGCTCTACCACGTACAAATCAACGTCCTTTTATACATATAAGGCCTTACATATACATAATTTTAGATATGCTTATTGTTGCTATCTCTCTTTTAAATAAATGACAAAAGAATGAGACAGGTATAGAGTAAACGGTACAGGTATATACTTAGTAAATATTTCATTTGAATAAACGGTAATGATTATATGTAAGGCAGATAATTGTTGTTGCATCTGATCGTGTAAATTCTGAACGACTTGGCCGATTGAGGTCATATTCGCACAATATATTTGTTTTGTCGAGACTACATAGGATTCTATGTCAGAACCCTATAGCGCTGTAGTCAAGCTATTAACAAATTATTATAAGGAGAAGGTGGTGGAATATGGTCCACTACTTTGTATTTGGGGCTTTATGTAAAAAATATCAGACTGAAAAAGAATAAATACATTATCGTGTTCCTTATTTATTTGTATATGCATACTTGACTATGGAATAAATGAAACTACGACAGAATAATCAAACCCAATTATATTCTAAAAGTGTTTAAATTTGGCAACTTGAGATCCTTTGAGGGTTATTTATTTAATTACAACGGTTTTTAATCCAATTACAGTAATTAATAATTTCGAAAGGCACATGAGAGTAAACTATGCTATAACTAAAACTATACTAAGAAAACATACAAATTATATAATATCATTAATTTCATAAAATCGTAAACAAGCTGACAACAGCACATTCCAATTATCCGCAAATATATCAAAGTCAGAAGAGCGTTGATTGCACTGTGCATTCGACATAGTGGGGAATTAGCGCGCGACAGCGTGCACGATGACGCCGTCGCGAATAATCTAAGCCGGTGAGATGACCTATGTCGCAAGTATTGATCAGGCACATAGATCTTGCATAAAGTATTGTGAAGTTTGGGGGCATCTACTCACTCCTCTTAGAATTTTGAGTGCAATGATAAGTGTGTTGCGAGAACGACGAACTGCAAGAGAATTATACCCTAATGTACCCAACAAAAATTGTGTGGGATATAAAAACGGATAGTATCCGTAATTTATTTTATAAAGGAAACGTAAGAAGGCCTTTTGAACTTTTTCTATGGTCAGAACATACTTAGAATCATAAGGATTCCAAACAGATGCCGCTAATTCCAATTTACTTCTCACTAAGGTGTTAAATAATTGTTTGATTATTTCTGTATTTTGAAATTCGCGGGCATTGCGCAAAACGAATCCGAGGCGTTTATAACAGTCAACAGCTAAGGCGGATATATGTGCATGAAAAGTTAAGCTACAATCAAAATTCACGCAAAGATCTTCTATGTTTGTCACACGCGTTAGAGTAGTGTCTCCTAAAGTGTAGGTAGCTTGTAGGGGGCTGTAATTTGCGACTAAAGCTCATAACATAACACTTACTCGTGTTAAAAACATTTTATTGTCAATACTCCACTGGTAGACTCGATCGATATCACTTTGGAGATGACTATGATTGACATTTTCATTTATTTCAAGTGTCAGTTTTAAATCGTCCGCGTAAAGTAAGCGTTTAGCATGCTTAACGACGCTAACAAGATTGTTGATCATAATAAGAAATAGGAGTGGACCGATTATCGATCCCTGGCAAACTCCGGAGCAACTATGGTATGATTGGGATAGGTAATAAACACATAACAACAACAACATATGGCGTCGGTTACGAAGATAACTTGAAAAAAGAGATAGTGGTTTCGGTATAAATCCTATAGCGCATAACTTTAATAACAGTATGTCATTGTCCACTTTATCAAACGCCTTTTTAAAATCGAGGTATAGCACATCTACCTGCCTACCTTTATCTAGACTTTGCGAAATGTAATCCAGGCGAGCAGGTTGAAAATCGTGTTGTTCATCACATAAATAGGATTTTAACTGTTCGTAAATAACCCTATGTACAATGTGTTCAAAGACCTTGGCAGGGGATCCTCAACAGAGGACCTGTTGCTAGTTTTTGGAATGGGGGTGACACGAGATAGATTCTACTGTTCGGGATAAGTGCCACTATGCAGAGCCAGATTAAAATATATGACAAAGGGAGGGCGCAATATGTTCCTTACATACTTTTAATATATAAGTAGGAACCATATCGGGACCAACAGAACTACAATTTGTTGATACCTGCTTTGACTTCTGATAATGTAAAATAATGTAAATAGCCCCCAGGGTACCAATTTTTTTTATAGGATAGGGTGACAAACGAGCACACAGTACACCAGATGGTAAGTGGTTGCTGTGGCCCATAGACATCTACATCTATCCTCGTTTGCGAATCAAAATGCAGATGCGTTGTAACCCCGGAGGACCAAGATGGAATGCCTCGTTTCCAGTAAAAACGGTCTTTGGTTCTCTACACCCACCATACGAAACACAGCAGTGTTAAGCTGCTATTTTACGCTGGTATTCTGTGAGAACGTGGTCCTTTCCCGGTCGAGCCGACCCATTCCAGACCCAGTGACAAGCGTCACGTTTATTCTATATTCCCTTATTTCTTTATTATATAGATCCCATTCTAGGTCCCAATCAAGTATGTACCGCTAACATCGCACCACATGGAGGATATGTAAACATACGAAACTTTACATTATCAGAAGTCAAAGCAGGTATCAACAAATTAAAACCAGTTATCACTGTCAAACATTTTATTTTTTATATATAACAGAGGTTCCAGTACCTACCAGAATAGCGCTGGCGTCTGAAAAACTACGATATGAACATAACTGTTGTAGACGGAGTGAAGTGTGCAGAGTTCAAATATTTAAAAAAAAATCATTACTAAAGTAGTTAGTAAAATGCCAGTATACAAATCCTCAACTATTTACGTTGTCTAAAATAATTTAGTAGATATAACCAAAAAAAAAAACCTCTTGTGAGAAAACATGATTTTATTTTTTATTATTTTTGGCGCTTTCTTTAATATTTATCCTATGCTACCGCAGCGCCACCCTTATTGGACGCGTTTTTACGGACACTAATTCATACACAGAGACGGTTCTCCTTACCTCTTCACTCCATAGTTCTATTTATAAAAAAATGTTAGGCCTTCTACCGGAGTTGTGGGGTACTAAATCGATTCTGTCACAGGAGCTCTGCATTGTCCTAAAGAGATAGTAGGTGGTGTGTTTCCAAGTTATAAATATTAAAGGTGGGCAATGTATCTGCGGGAGTCACATAAACACCTTCTTTTCTAATGGCCAAGAATGACTCATATTTACATTACGGTTGGTTTGGTGCCATAAACGAAAATAATGAAATCTTGACCCGATAGTTGTAGTCTAGTTATTATACAATGATATATTTATACTGAAAATGTCCGGAGTAGATCGGGGGTAAAACTTATCGCGCCATCTACCGAAAAGATTAGAACGTATCAGCCCAGCTAGTTTAAAAAAAATATTAAAATCATGGATATAATATGAGATTACAGAGAAAATTTATACTAGTTTCAGTTCTAAATAGGAACATGGTATTGATTGCGTTTCATAATATGGTGAGAGACAAAAACTGGTAACCCGTTTTTGCTGATAACGACGCACTTCATTTCAGCCTTCGGGGTTGACTATTAATCGAGAATAGATGAAACCACAAGTAACAAAGAGAAATATCAGACATTCTTGGTCAATTGGGTTCATTCAAATATTCCGTTTAACAATATTTCCACGGAAAAAAGGCTTTATAAACGGGTGTGTCTTGCTTTCATAAAATGGAGCATTATGTATTCTTACGCATATTTTATTAACTTGACATTGATCCTTATTATTCAAATGTTAAGATTGATTATCCACAGGTCGTTTTCATTGGAATGCCAAACTTCGTGATACGCTCGTGCAACGTACGTGATGCAACACACAACTGGATGTCGTAACAATAATAATGATTGTCAATTGACATCTATGTTAGTCAGTTTGTTTCTTCTAAACTTTATTCATGCACTGACCGATTAAACAGGAGCATGTATAAATTCAAAATACACTATTCGGTCAGGCCCTTCTTCACATTGTACGAAACGTGGTTAAATTTTATTTAAAAACCGAGAACGGCCGAGAAAGGCCGTGGACGAATATCTCGATTGGGCCTTACAAACGGTAAGTCGCGAACTGTTTACATACAGATGAGAAAGAAAAGAGACTCATTGGAACTACAGATTTTTTAAGCTCTTATAATTCTAATTAAAAAAAAAAAAAACTAAAGAAAGTATTTAAATCACTCACCACCCCGTTCTGAACGCTGAAACCGAGCTGGTACTTAGTGTCTGGTCGCTTTATCTTGACTTCCACGACGGGAGCGCACGGTACTACCGTGAGTTTCACCACGGTCTGGTTCTTCGAATTCTTTATGTACGTTTGACAAGTTGATAGTGGCAGCCCTACTAGACTAACGCCGTTTATTGCGATTATTTGATCACCTGTAACAGAAGTTAGGTTAAATCAAACGCTTTGTATTTTTACAAACGTTTAAATTTCATTTGGACGTGAAAGAAGAGGAGTTTTGCTACCGGACTAGTTATTCAGCTCGGGGAACGGCTATGTACCGGAGTAGTTTGGAAATTTCGATAGCGTGATTTGGGCTTCAGTTCGTATACACTGCTGGCGGGATGACAGCACCGTCACATTTTACTTTTGTAAGAGCCTATATACATCCCAGACCTAAAAATAAAACACCTTTCATTTCTGACAAGTTTATGGAGCAACAGTGCAGTTCTGCTGCAGGATGCACATGACTTCGGAATATTTTATTTCTCAGACATGTATATATCCTCGCGATGACAGCGGAATTTTTATATTTAGTTTTAATTATTGATGACAGTGATATTGTGGTCATTCAATCTGTCTGCTCATGCTTAATAATGTAGAGTTCAAATTAAATTAACACATCACTATAGTACATTATGATGCAAAATAAAATGATATTAAAATAATTATGTTATTTTTTCTTTCCTTTTTCTTTAAAAAAAAAACGTTACCCCCACACTAGGATTTTCTCCTGTGTGGTGGCGGTGTCGTGGGTTTATTTCTACGACGTAAGAATTTACAATTTCGTTTATCACACGTCTTTTTTTTTTTCAAATCTACCGTTTTAAAATAAGGTCCCTCTGACCGGAGAAGAAACGGCAAAAGAAACTCCGCAACTTATACTAAAATTCGGTTATTGTAAAATACCGGAATTTGATTAGCAAATCGTGCTGACTTTGGGAAAACCCATGTTTACAAGCTGATGAAAATACATAGAATGATGAGGGAGATATTCACCTATATTAAGTTGTCCACATCTGGCGGCTGCCCCGGCTGGCGCAAGGTTGGCGATCACCACGGTAGGCAACATGGAACCCCACCCGGATTCTACCACAACCACTCCCAGTATCTCGCCCTTTGTCTTCGGTACTACAACTTCCTTCTGCAGTTCCTTCTTCGCGAACATCTGAAGTTCGTCGCCGAAGATCTCTTGGCTATTCAGAACCTCCTGATAGTCCATTTCCTTCACGAAGCTGTGGTCTTCTATACCGTTGGCTTTGAGGAACTCCATGTATGCTACTTGGAATGCTTGGCCAATCGATTGGGCAATAAACTGGGCCTGAAATTTAAAAGTAAATATCAGTTCATTTTTTTATTTTCCGTAATAAATTATTATATAAAATCATTGCATTAGGTTATGACTTTTTTAAAACTATTACATTTTTCAAGATCATGTGACGCAATCATTCATTCATAACAGACTATCAAAAGTTAAATTTTAAAAGTGGTAGAACCACGCTGCAGTTATATTAAAGTTGTAGCACGAATGAGTCGGCTCGACCGGGGCAAGACCACGCTCTCACAGAATACCAGCGTATGAACAGCTTAATGCTGCTGTTTCGTATGGTGAATGCAGAGAACCGGAGACCCTTTTTACTGGAAACGAGGCATTCCGTCTTAGTTCTGTCTATGTGCCACAGCATCCACTTACCACCAGGTAGACTATGTGTTCTTTTGTCACCCTTATCTATACAAATGAATAAAATTGAAGTGTCTGTTTGCAATATCAAAATTGCAGCGTTTTACTAAATTCATATGAAAGTATAAAGAGTACTTATAATAAAAATACACTTTTTTAAATTTTTGTCTGTCTGTCTGTTTGTTCCGGCTAATCTCCGAAACGGCTAAACCGACTTTGACGGGACTTTCACTGGCAGATAGCAAAAAAAATTAAAACCCTAAATTACACGCGGGCGAAGTCGCGGAGAACAGCTAGTTCTATATATAAAACAAATACTGCTAACCCCATGGTTGGGGTTAGCTGTGGAGATAGTATGGGGGAGGCCCATGCCTCCGCCATTGTTTGCCTCATTTTTTGTATAGACGTCACGCTTCGCAGGTGGGCTGTCAACCGCAACCGGGATTTATATAATTTTAAGCTGTTCTCAGCAAGATGCTGCTGCGCATCTACTGTTTCATTTCCTTCTGTCTTCTCCTATTTCATTTCCTTATGATACCTATGGGATGATATGAGAGTAGTTGATTCTCTTACACAACCGCTACACTAAATGCGACTAGCTCATATTTAATCGGGGTTTTTTACCCCTCATGCTATTGTGCGTCCAAAGAATCAAAACAAAAAGGATAGAAAACCAGCCACTTTTACAGTAATATTGCGTATGAAAATTAAGTTCATTATTTGTGCAATTTTTATTTGGGTAAAAAGAAAATTTGAATAGGCATATCCTTACCTCTTCACTCTCGAAAACGTGACATATCATCTTGGGAGTACGGTTCAGTTTCGGTTGATCAGAGTCGTTCTCGTGTGGGACGAATCTTCTCCTAGCCATGAGTACAACCAAGTCACCGATATCAGCTATGTAGGAGATGGTTCTTAAAGCATGATCCATCATTATCTCTTTCAATTCCGTGTTCAGCACCATGATTTTCTCCGTCGAAATAAACAGGTCTACTTCCGTGCTCGGTTGGTTCTCGCCTTCTGGGGCCTGTAAAAAAAGGATAAATTTTAATTCTTTTCAAAATTTTGTAATCGACATTTCTTAAAATTTTATGTTAGTTATTTTTAAGTAAGAAAAGAATCATGATAAAAAAATATTTACTAGGTGATGGGACTTCTTTCTGTTAAGGATATCGTCTGAGTTAGTACCTACTAGGGCACTGCCTGTTGCGCTGTCTGTCACACAGAGCGTAACAGGTGGTGTACTGTTTAAGTGTGACAGAGAGCACAAGAGGTAGCGTCCTGTTTAAGTGTGACGGAGAGCGCAACATGCGGCGTCCAGTTTAAGAGTGATAGAGAGCAAAACAGGTAGCGTCCTGTTTAAGTGTGACGGAGAGCGCAACATGCGGCGTCCAGTTTAAGAGTGACAGAGAGCAAAACAGGTAGCGTCCTGTTTAAGTGTGACGGGGAGCGCAACATGCGGCGTCCAGTTTAAGATTGACAGAGAGCAAAACAGGTAGCGTCCTGTTTAAGTGTGACGGAGAGCGCAACATGCGGCGTCCAGTTTAAGAGTTACAGAGAGCAAAACAGGTAGTGTCCTGTTTAAGTGTGACGGAGAGCGCAACATGCGGCGTCCAGTTTAAGTGTGACAGAGAGCACAACAGGTAGCGTCCTGTTTAAGTGTGACGGAGAGCGCAACATGCGGCGTCCAGTTTAAGAGTTACAGAGAGCAAAACAGGTAGTGTCCTGTTTAAGTGTGACGGAGAGCGCAACATGCGGCGTCCAGTTTAAGTGTGACAGAGAGCACAACAAGCAGCGTGCTGTTTAAGTGTGACGGAGAGCGCAACGGGCGGCGTCCTGTTTAACAGTGACAGAGAGCACAACAGGCAGCGTGCTGTTTAAGTTTGACGGAGAGCGCAACGGGCGGCGTCCTGTTTAAGAGTGACAGAAAGCTCAACACGCAGCGTGCTGTTTAAGTGTGACGGAGAGCGCAACAGGTGGTGTCCTGTTTAAGAGTGACAGAGAGCACAACAGGCAGCGTGCTGTTTAAGTGTGACGGAGAGTGCAACAGGTGGCGTCCTGTTTAAGTGTGACGGAGAGCGCAACATGCGGCGTCCAGTTTAAGTGTGACAGAGAGCACAACAGGCAGCGTGCTGTTTAAGTGTGACGGAGAGCGCAACGGGCGGCGTCCTGTTTAAGTGTGACAGAGAGCAAAACAGGTAGCGTCCTGTTTAAGTGTGACGGAGAGCGCAACATGCGGCGTCCAGTTTAAGTGTGACAGAGAGCACAACAGGCAGCGTGCTGTTTAAGTGTGACGGAGAGCGCAACGGGCGGCGTCCTGTTTAAGTGTGACAGAGAGCAAAACAGGTAGCGTCCTGTTTAAGTGTGACGGAGAGCGCAACATGCGGCGTCCAGTTTAAGTGTGACAGAGAGCACAACAGGCAGCTTGCTGTTTAAGTGTGACGGAGAGCGCAACGGGCGGCGTCCTGTTTAAGTGTGACAGAGAGCACAGCAGGTAGCGTCCTGTTTAAGTGTGACGGAGAGCGCAACGGGCGGCGTCCTGTTTAAGTGTGACAGAGAGCAAAACAGGTAGCGTCCTGTTTAAGTGTGACGGAGAGCGCAACATGCGGCGTCCAGTCTAAGTGTGACAGAGAGCACAACAGGCAGCGTGCTGTTTAAGTGTGACGGAGAGCGCAACGGGCGGCGTCCTGTTTAAGTGTGACAGAGAGCACAACAGGTAGCGTCCTGTTTAAGTGTGACGGAGAGCGCAACAGGCGGCGTCCTGTTTTCCCATTTTATTGCACCGCGGGCAGCGGGTATTTAACATTAGTATAGTAAAAGAGTAGTAGAGATTAACTACGATAACATGGTCCGAACCTCCAAAATTGAAAAAGTTTGAAAGTATTTGTGAAAGTTTTGACAAAGCACCACCAAGACTCACAACGTATGTGGACGTAGTGAAACGGCCGTCATACAAAAATAAATCCAAGGACTTGTTGCTCGACTAGCGCTATCATAAATAGCTCATTATTATTAGTAAGTATGGCTCTGAACTGACGTACTCTATGAAAATGACAGAAACAGAAACTTTTTTATTTAATATAGATTATAAATAATACTTATTGAAAGTCACTCTTTTGTTTAATTACCACTGGTTCGAAAAAAAGCTCTGTCCTGGGAAGAACCAGCAAGAAACCCAGCGGGACTTTTTTTAAATAACAGCTTACAATTATGTATGTTACACAAATTAACAACACAACAAATTAGAAATAGCTTGGTAGCGATCACCTCATTGCCAGGGGCTATTATCATCCACAAATTCTTTAATATTATAATAACCCTTTTTATACAAACTAAAGTTTTTGAACTTTGAGCAGGTAAAATTTTTTATATTTTCTGGAATTTTGTTGTAAAAGCGTATACATCGCCCCAAGAATGAATTACTGACTCGATGGAGTCGAGTAACTGGTACTTACTAGCTTGTGTCTGTTCCTAGTATTTACAGAATGAATATCACTTATTTTTGTAAAACTACTTTTATTTTTGTGTACGTACATTACATTTTCATAAATGTATTGAGAGGCCAAAGTTAATATATTAATTTCCTTGAATTTTTGTCACAGCGACTCTTTAGGCTTTAAATCATAAATTGCTCTTATGGCCCTCTTCTGTAAAACAAATATAATTTCAGTGTCAGCTGCATGTCCCCATAGTAAAATACCATACGACATTATGCTATGGAAATAGCTAAAGTAAACTAGTCTAGCTGTTTCAACACTGGTAAGACTTCTAATCTTTTTTACAGCATATGCTGCAGAACTAAGTCTGCTTGCTAGTTTTGATATATGGGGGCTCCATTGAAGCTTCGCGTCTAGTGTGATTCCAAGAAAAATGGTGGTATCTACAAGACTCGGTTTCTCCCCATTTAAAATTACATAAGTATTTAATTGTTTGACATTTGGTCATGAAGTCATGAATTTCATACATTTCGTATTAGTGCCATTTAAATGCAAATTATTAACATTGAACCAATTTACTAATTTAGATATAGCATTATTTACTTCTTCATATTTTAGTAATTGTCGACTTAATTTGAAAATTAAAGAAGTGTCATCTGCAAATAATACTATATCATGGTTATGCCCTAGTACGTAAGGTAAGTCATTAATGTATACAAGAAACAGAAAGGGGCCGAGAATTGAGCCTTGAGGCACGCCTATTTGTACCATCGATCCAGAAGAGCTCATACTGTTAATGATAACTTTTTGCGTTCTCTTACTTAAATATGAAATAATTAATTTAAGAGCATCACTTCTTACACCGTAGTGTTGAAGTTTCCTGATTAATGTTTCATGATGAACATAATCGAAGGCCTTCGATATTTCACAAAATATACCCAAAGCATCCTGTGAATTCTCCCATGCATTAAAGATATATTTAATCAGCTCAACCGACATCAGTTATCGAGCGACCCCTTGTGAAACCAAATTGATTATAATGAAGTAAGTTATTCATATTAAAGAAATTTAACATTTGATCAAGAATAATTTTTTCAAAAATCTTACTAAGTGTTGGTAGTACAGAAATAGGTCTAAAATTGGCGGGGTCTAATGTACTACCAGATTTAAATAAAAGTATTACTTTACTTCATTAAATCAGGAAAAACACCAGATTCGACACATGAGACATACATAAATGAGACGCGATTGTATCTATTATAGACGCAATAACTTCAACGGAAATCCCCCACAGATCCGCAGTTTTCTTAACATCAATAGTTTTAAAATGTTATACAATATCTTTTGATGATACTTTATGAAATGTAAAATTCTGTTTAGGCCCAAAAATGGTTATTTTGAAACGCCATCCAACAGTGTTGAATTAGCGAATCGCCCGATGTGTGAGGTAACACGCGCGTCGCGGGGAAGGGGCAGCGGTATGCGGCCTCCCGGCGTTTGGCGCTCGTGGGCGAAGACCAGTAGCTTTAGAGCAGCGGTACGGGCAATCAGCGTATTTTGGAGACCGCTTCATATATTTCGCGCGACCAGTTTTTTGGGTTTATGGTCTAGATTTTAGTATTTGTTCGCGTTATTTCGCTACTGAATTGTGATTTCGTGAAGACCGCCTCGGTTTAGTTTGTCTAAGTTTTGAGTTGAAGTTAGTTAAATATACAATTAAGTTGATAGACTGAAATAGTGACATGAAGAAAGAAGTTGTCACTTGGTGACGCCTGCTGGAGTGATGCAGCATTGTGGGGCAGCATGGGACCAGGCCGCTGCCCGGTCACCTCAGCTGGGCCAGGTCACATAAATAAACACTACCAACACACCACTTTACATGCACTTACACCTACCTAAGGCCTGACCGAGCCTTGGTGCGGTCTTAGCTTCGGATCCAGGTACGTACTATTTATTTACCTAGCCTTCTCCCTATTGTGTAGTGTGATAGGTCAATTGTCCATATGGCCATTTGGGCCCGAACCCTCGGCTGCCCGTCGAGGAGGGTACTGTGGGCCCTAGCCAAGGCGACCTTTGCAGGGGCAGCTGGGGGCCGTAACAAATTCTTTGTACACGCATTTACATTTTGTTTAAGTAATGATTCGGCGACGGCAGGAGAAGAATTCAGTGACTTAGTGGTTAATATCGGAATATCAGTAAAATATTGCTCAAAAACCATTGCAACGCCCTGATCTGATTCAGTTAATTTGTTGTTAACACTATACTGGTAGTTTGAATTGCGAGAGTTAATCTTACCAGTTTCGCTATTAATTATACTCCATGTCATTTTAATTTTATTAGAAGTCGTCTTAATTTTGTTGCTCAAATGCAAAGACTTGGCTGTGGAGCACACTCTTTTAAATATTTTTAATATTTTTTTACATATTCCCTAAATTCGACGCTATGATTATATGATCTTTCATGGTGAAGATGATAACCTATGTCTGCTCTTATGGACACCTACTGTCGCCCATTCATTGAATGACTTCCGACTGTTGACACGTGCGTTATCTTGCGCGGTCGACAAAGCTATGATTAGTTGACCAACAAA